TTCTGGCTTTCCAATTTTTAAACATATACCCCAAAATGGGTTTTCTGGATCCTATGGTATGTTTTTAGTTTTTGAGGAACTTCCATAGGAGCTGTACCATTTTATATGCCCACCAACAGTACAGAAGGGGTCGTTTCTCTCATCCTCACCAACAGTTGTCATTTTGTTTTGTTTTTCGTGGCCATCCTAATGGGTGTGAGGTGATGTCTCATTGTGGTTTTGATTGCATTTCTCTACTGATTCATGATGTTGAACATCTTTTCATATGCCAGTTGGCCATTTATATAATATATCTTCCTTAGAAGAAATATCTATTCAGGTAGCACTTAATTTTTAAAAATAAAGTATTTGACAGTAACATAGAGGTAAAGGAATCCAATCCACACCAAGAACCCACCACCCAGCTTCAGAATGAAAGCATTCCCAGAGGTGTTGGAGCCCTGGGTTCCCAGCCGGACCAGAGCCTGTGTGGCCAGTCCGCCAGGCTGGAACTCCACAAGCTGCTCCTGGGCTCCACATGCTGCTGCTTCTGGATCAGCCCAACCCCCGACAACCTTCCAGCCCTTAATGGAGACAAATACTTTTAAATTTCTAACAAAGAATATTTCCCATGATTCAACCTTCCATTTCCTGACCTTCTGTCCACTTAAAAAGCAGATTCCTGTTCTTCTAGGTTTAAATCTGGCTCTATTCCTCCTCACTCAGTGGCCTTGAGCAAGTCATTGAACCTCTCTGAGCCACAGCTTCTTTCTCTATAGAATGGGGATAATGATGATACTTTTGAAGAACAGTTGAATAATCCATGTCAATTGCTATTACTACTAATCTGGCTCTGAAGGGATAGCTGTACCCTGAGCAGTCAATTGTGTATTGTCTCTTATTTGTTTTTTATTTTTTTGAGATGCAGTTTCACTCTCTTGCCCAGACTGGAGTGCAGTGGTGCAATCTCGGCTCACTGCAAGCTCCACCTCCTGGGTTCACGCCATTCTCCTGCCTCAGCTTCCCAAGTAGCTGGGACCACAGGTGCCCGCCACCATGCCCGGCTAATTTTTTTGTATTTTTAGTAGAGACAGGGTTTCACTGTGTTAGCCAGGATGGTGTCGATCTCCTGACCTCATGATCCACTCACCTTGGCCTCCCAAAGTGCTGGGATCACAGGCATGAGCCACCGCGCCTAGCCTGTGTGTTGTCTCAGGGACACTCTCCTTCAGGGAAATTGTTCTGTGTACGAGGACGAAAAGGTGGGAGGATTCCTTGGGGCCAGGAGTTCGAGATCAGCCTCGTCAACATTGCAAGACCCTCTGTTTACAAAAGAGTCCCAGTCTCAGGAGGCTGAGGCAGAAGGATCCCTTAAGTCCAGGGGCTCAAGGCTGCAGTGAGCTGTGATCTTGCCAGTGCACTCCAGCCTAGGTGACAGTGAGACCCTGTCTATAAAATACATACATACATACATACATACAGGTTACCATAGGTTTTGAAGAATGACTTGTATTTAAATGTATAGTGTCTGGGATGTGTGTGAAAGATTTATTTGGTCATTCATTCATACGCACAAATGGACACAAACCTAGAAAAGTATATTCTGCACCCCTAGATTTTTCCTTAGTGTGTCCAGTAGATGGGAGGCTGGGCGAGTAGATGAGATGGTTGGGGAGATGATGCGGTAGAGAACAGAATGTCAGGTAGATGGTAAACATCCCGTGGGCAGATCTGAGGGGGGCTGAGAGTGGATAGCAAGGTGATTATCCAGGACACACGTCCCTGTATCAGTAGGTTCCGAGATGAACTGTTCTGTTTTTCTGTTCCAGGTAAAGCTTGAGAGCAACTTTGCCTCCATTGTATTTGCCATCATGGTGTTGGAGGGGCTTGGCCGCTCGCTGGACCCCAAACTGGACATCCTGGAGGCAGCGAGGCCCTTCCTCCTCACAGGCCCAGTGTGCCCTCCGTGATGGGGCAGTGGCCTGTGTGGGCCTTTGTCAAGAGCTGGAGGCCACTTCCAAGAGCCTCTCCTATGGCAGCTGGGATGTTTAAAATTGGGACACCAATTTCAAATGTGACCCTCCAGTGGTAGAAGGCACATCATGGCTTCCTCCGCTTGGTTTGAAGGTCTGTTCAAAAGCTTTGGGCCAATTAGGGAGTAAGAGGAGGGAAGGGGCCTATCCATTCCATTGTGGAAGCTGGGCCAGGTGCCAGGGACACTCTCCTTCAGGGAAATTGTTCTGTGTAGGAGGACGAATAAATTTATTTTGTTTTCCTGTTTTTCTCTTTTCTTGACCCGCTGTACTCCCTGGTCAGGTGGGTCCTGCTGGTAGTTCCCAGACTTTGATATTTAGGTTAGAAAATGCCATCAAGTCCTATTGCTCCTTAGTGTGTGTGTGCGCGCACGCACACACACACACACACACACACAATTTATGTATAAATTTCCTGCAGGTGCTACCTGCCAGCATAAATATACACTTAGGGCAGATTTCATTGTACTTCAAATTATCTTGTTGGTAATTTTTAATAGATTTTGCCAACTCCTTGCTAACTTTTATTATGAGGTAAAACAAAACTGATGAAAGTGGCTGACATACTGGGCACATGAGCAGAACAGCTTGGCTACTTCCTTAACATGGCCCCGGGTTCACACGCTAGTCTGGAACTACAGTTTCTCTGCCACAGTGTCTGCACCTGTCCACTTGCAGGCATTAATTTTGGTGAATAGGAACAGAGTTAACATAACCAGTATGTCCTCTTCTCCATGGCAGTGCCTGGGGCATACCTGCAGTGACCACTGCCTGCCCCTCTCCGCCAGGCCCAACCACGGGCTTTCTTCTCAGAGCTGAGCTGATGTGGCCGGCTGGCAGACTAGGAGGGGCCTGGGGGTCAGCCTGGAGGGGAGATATTTGTAAAGCTTAATATCTCTTTTTTTTTTTTTTTAGGTAAAATCACATTTTATCCCTGCACCTTCATAGATTATATTGCTCGTCTTAGAGACCACTAGGCAGCGAACGGAGTCAAGCCCTTGTGCTCCCCAAAAGTCCTACCCTGACCACAGGACTAGTTTCTTCCATTCTTTCCTTCTCCAGGATAAAGTTCCTCATTCCTGTCTTTCAGGGAGTAGTATGGTTTAGGTGGACAGAGATTCCTTTGGTGCCGTTTTTTTCTAGGGAGGTGATGTTATTTTTTCCTTCCCAGGTCTTGAGGGGGCGTTCAAGGCAGGCAGAGAGGGGTTGGGATAGCTCCAGATGGCTGGGGGAGAGCACACCAGCTGGTCACACAGCCCCTTGTGCCAGTGCCCATTCAGGTACAGTGTGGAGGCTGGAGAGGGACAAAAAGACAGCAGTCCCCTCCCCCAGCCTATGCCAACACAGCCTTAAAGCCAGTGGATCGAATCAAGCCATTTGTGGCCTGTATTATCTATTGCTGTGTACGAACCATCCCAAAATATAGTGGCTTAAAACAACAGCATTTATTGTCTCCCAGTTTCTGTGGGTCAGAAATCTGGGTGCAGGTAGGCTGGGTCCTCTGGCTCAGGGTCTCTCCTAAGGCAGCTGCATCTCCAGGCTTCACTGGGGTGGATCTGATGCCAGGTGAGCTTGGGGGTGTGGGGCCCAGGGCCTCAGTTCCTAGGAGCTGTTACAGCAGCAATAGAAAAGGGGCACATGGGCCACTGCAGTGGCTTATGCCTGTTATCCAGCACTTTGGGAGGTTGAGGCAGGCAGGTTACCTGAGGTCAGGAGTTTGAGACCAGCCTGGCCAACATGGTGAAACCCTGTCTCTACTAAAAATACAAAAATCAGCCGGGCGTGGTGGCGGGTGCCTGTAGCCCCAGCTAATCGGGAGGCTGAGGCAGGAGAATCGCTTGGACCTGGGAGGCAGAGGTCGCAGTGAGCCCAGATCGCACTACTGAACTCCAGCCTGGGCGACAGAGTGAGACTCCGTCTCAACAAAACCTATAGGGAGGGGGAAATCAAGTGAACCTTTCAGAGTAGGGAATTAAGTCAACATAAAATTTTGTGAACAACCTTTTTTCCTCATCTGTTTTCTACTTCCAACTCCAGAGTAGCTTCTTGATTTGGGCTTAGATGCTGTATGTGAGGTCACCTAGAGTCTGTCCACACAGTTAGTTAAAATTTGAATGGGAATCTTATTTGCATTTAGAAGCTGAGCGCTTGGTGGTAGGGCTTGGCATCCCTTCCCTCACTTTCTGAAATACATCCGTTCAAATAGGGTGTTCATCTGATAACCAGAAGAGGGCCACGATTCGGTCTGCAAAACGCAGAAAGGGATATTTGCCCTTAGAGTTCTTAGCGAATATCTGGTAAACAAATAAGTATGCAAATAAGTCGACAAAAATAGCCACACTATTCCATGTCGACTGGAAAGTCAACTTTCATCCAGAAAACAGCGGATGCTCTCCTGTAATTTATACACCGTTCATGCCGGGAGCGGTGGCTGACGCCTGTAACCCCAGCACTTTGGGAGGCCGAGGCGGGCAGATCACCTAAGCTCAGGAGTTCGAGACCAGCCTGGCAAACATGGTGAAAACGCGTCTCTACTAAAAATACAAAAATTAGCCTGGCGCAGTGGCGCGCGCCTGTAATCCCAGCTACTCGGGAAGCTGAGGCAAGAGAATCGCTTGAGCTTGGGAGGCAGAGGTTGCAGTGAGCCAAGATGGTGTCATTGCATTCCAGCCTGGGCGACAGAGGAAGGCCTTGTCTCAAAAAAAAAAAAAAAAAAAAAAAAATTAAACACCACTCAGTTTTAGGAGGGGCAGGAGAACAGGGGGAGAGCCCTACAGGATCAGAGGGGCAACCAACAAGCTGTTTCAGGAGGCACGGGGCAGCTCAGCAACCAGAAGCTATGCGTGGGCTTTGCTCTCAGGAGAGACGCTTCCTGCAGCAGCTAAAGAATCCAGTCGGGAGCAACTGCCGCCTCCCCCACTCCTGGAGATGGGCGACTCCGTGACGTCACGGAAGGCGGGGCGCCGGGGAAGTGAAGTAGGCGAGGGCGAGGCGGCTGGGGACTGCGGGGCGGACGCAGGCGAGCATGTCCGCCCTGACTCGGCTGCCGTCTTTCGCTCGCGTTGGAGGCCGCCTTTTCAGAAGCGGCCGCGCACGGACTGCTGGAGATGGTGGAGTCCGTCAGTGAGTGTCCGGCAGGGGATGGGGGCCTCGCCGGCCTGTAGCGGACAGCGCGGGTCCCTGGGACTCTCTCACCTTGACTGGGGCGCCTGGAGAGGCCGCGTCCCGAGGCATGCTGGGACATGTAGTCCTCCCATCCCCTGACGCCGCGGATCGGGGAGAGGGACCCCGCTGGGCGGAGGGAGACAGGGAGAGACTTCGTTGGGCAGATGGGATACCGTGTGCGGGGCTGTCCTGGTCGTAGGGGCTGCCTGCCCTCGGGAGACGCACGCGTGAATGCGGAGCCGGCTGAGCGAATGGGCGCCGGCGCGGGCGGTCCAGGCGGAGGAAGCAGCCTGCGCGGCGTTTGTGGACGCTGCTGGAGCGAGGCGGAGGGTGGCGGCGGTGAGGCCTAGGAAGGGCGCGGTCCAGGGTCCTGGTACCTGGCTGCGGAATTTAGGGTAGAGTCGGTTCGGCAGCCTTTTATCAGAGACGTCACGTGGCGGCTTTTTAATGCTGAAAAATCACTCCGACTGCAGGGAGTGGAGGCGACCGCCCAGAGAGAGCGCCGTCGGGTGAGAGGAAAGAAAGCCGGAAGCCCACGCTGGGGCAGCTGCGGCGTTTAGGAGAGTGACGGGCAGAGCCGCCCGCGAGGTGTCCCGAGACGCTGACCGGAGGGCTGAGGGCTGGGGGTCGAGGCCGGGAGCAGCTGCCGAAGCCCAGTTAGTGGTGTGCGGAGATTCCATAAGAGCAGGACTGGAAAAGAGTAATGGATGATTCCAGATCCCTTAGATCATCAGCTACGCTTTACCAAGAGGCAGTGTGGGGTCGTGATTCCAAGCGGGATTCTGGCCCCACAGTGGCTGGGTTCAAATCCCACCTCTGCCACACTCCAGCAGCGGAACCTTGGAAGAGTTTCTTATTCTCTTAATGCCTCAGTTTTCTCACCCATTTAGCGTCCATTTGCAAGGAACTAAATGAGTTACTGTTGTCTGAAGCGTGTTTTGTTTTTTGTGTGTGTGTGTTTCAAGAGATGGAGTCTAACTCTGTTGCGCAGGCTGGAGTGCAGTGGCGCGATCCCAGCTCACTGCAGCCTGTAACTCCTGGGCTCAGGTGATCCTCCAGCCTCGGCCTCCCAAAGTGTTGGGAATACAGGCGTGAGCCACTGCGCCTGGCCTCACTAAAGTGTTTAAAGCAATTGCTGGTGCCTGCTAAGGACCATACAAGTATTCTTTAACTGTTGTTGTTATTAAGGAACTGAGGCCCAGGAAATGAAAGGAGTGACTTGCATGAAGTCCCACATGGATTAAGAATCTGGAGCTGAGGCAGGTGTCGGGTGGGCAGAAGGCAAAGTCCTCTGAGACTTGGGCAAAGAGAGTGATGGAGAGCCACGAGCGACGGCCCTTGGTCCTGCGTGAGGAGATGGGGGGATGCTGCTCCTCCCTGAGGTATTGGCTTGTTCGTAGCACACGCTGATTTCAGAGGGTGTGATAATTAAGTGCGTACGTGTTTATGGAGCGTCTTCTCTATGCCCGCTCCTGTGTAGGTGCTGAGGATATAGCAGAATACATGAGAGAGAATGAAGCGCACCTTCTGGACAGGAGAGACACAAGTAGAAAAGAAGGACGTTTTTTAGGTGCTGTCAAGGATTACGAAGAGAAGAATACAGCTGGGGATTAATGTGGAGAGTGCGTGGTGTGGGAGGAGAAGGGATATTGTATTTGGGGATGGCGTGGGGATGCCTGGGAGTGTGATTTGAAGCGGGACCTGAGGGATGAGAAGTCAACCATGCAGAGACCTCAAGGGAAGAGCCCGGTGGACATAAGAGGGCAGAGGAGGCATCAGGTGGAGAGGCCGGAGCCCGCAGGGTTGGCAGGAGGCCAGGCTGGAGTGGAGCACAGGCGAAGAGTGGGAGAGACCAGGTCACAGGGACAAGTGTGGGGTCAGATTAGAGAGGGCTTTGGAGGACTCGGGATTTTATTCTAAGAATCACAGGGAGCCATTGGAGTTTTAAAGCAGGAAAGTAATGTGGTCTGATTTATATTTTAAAAATGTAACTTTGGCCAAGCGCGGTGGCTCACACCTGTAATCCCAGCACTTTGGGGAGGCTGAGGCAGGCAGATCACCTGAGGTCAGGAGTTCCAGACCAGCGTGGCCAACACGGTGAAACCCCATCTCTACTAAAAACACAAAAATCAGCTGGGCATCATGGTGCGCGCCTGTAATTCCAGCTACTGGGGAGGCTGAGGCAGGAGAATTGCTTGAGCCCAGGAGGCGGAGGTTGCAGTGAGCCGAGATCGCGCCACTGCACTCCAGTTTGGGTGACAGAGTGAGACCCCATCTCAAAAAAATAAAAATAAAAATGTAACTAACAGTTACGGTGCATTTTTGTTTTTAAACTTGACTCTCAAACATTCGAAGTTGGAACAGCCATTGTTTCCTTGGATGTTGTTTCTTCTCTGCTCTCTTTCCTTCGCACAGGACTCGCGCATAGTGTCTTACTCCCTTATGGTTTTTGATCTTGAACTTGTTTTCCCTGGAACTTCTTTGAGATCTTGCTTCTCTTAGTCTCTTGAGGGCGCTGCCCCAATTCAAGCTCACATTAAATTCTTGGCTTGGGGTTTTTGGTCTACACAGGCCCAACGCAGGTAGTGTGAATTTGGGTGCAAATCTACCTGAGGACTGGCTTCTGAGAACAAATTCGTGTTCCCTTGTCCATGGAAGGTTTATTTCTTCTTCACCCTTTTACCATATGGGGCCGCAGCTTTATTCAGCGATCTCGTCATTAGCCCTCCCACCTTGGGTGGGCTCCAGGCTGCGTCTCTTGTCCCCACACCTCATGTAGCTATGCTGGGGGAGGTTCAAGGGCTCCCGGTGAAGGCAGCGTCAGTGATTGCTTAGCTTCCAGGCCTTGTTTTTACTTGGATTTTGCCCTTGGTGGATTCCTTCCTTTTGTGCCTGGTCAGTGATGTTTGTAAAAATCTTAAAAATCTCATCTAGAAGCGTAGTTGTTTAATTTGGAGGGTTGTTCAGGGTATCTAGTTTGCCACAGTGCAGTTCACAACCTGGTTTGGAACATAACATCGTGAAGTTGGTGTTGAGTCTTTACATTCCTTAATCATGGCAACTGTTGTCATTGTTCCTGTGGTATAATTGCAGTCTTTCAAATCTTTGTTCCAAAAGGTTTCCATCTTGCAGTCCCTACTTCAGGTTATAATTAAAACAACATGTCACTCTAGCAATAACGAAGCGTGGGGAGCTGCTAAGATGGGTTTGAACTATAATGCTGGCATCGGCATTACTCAAGTCTTTTTTTTTGAGACTGAGTTTTGCCCTTGTTGCCCAGGCTGGAGTGCAATGGCATGATCTCGGCTCACTGCAATCTCCGCCTCCCAGGTTCAGGTGATTCCCCTGCTTCAGCCTCCCGAGTAGCTGGGATTACAGGCGTGTACCACCACGCCCGGCTAATTTTGTATTTTTAGTAGAGATGGGGTTTCTCCATGTTGGTCAGGCTGGTCTTGAACTCCCAACCTCAGGTGATCCACCTGCCTTGGCATCCCAAAGTGCTGGGATTTCAGGTGTGAGCCACCGGGCCCGGCCTTCAAATCTTGTTTTAATCAGTTTTACTGCTGGGCACTTATACCTAGATTGTATCAAAAAGCTATCAAAGAATAAGGATCTTGTTGGCCTGAGGTCAGGAGTTCGAGATCAGCCTGGCCAACATAAGGAATCCCTGTCTCTATTAAAAATACAAAAATTAGCTGGGTATAGTGGCACATGCCTGTAATCCCAGCTACTTGGGAGGCTGACGCAGGATAGATAATTGGTTGAACTGGGAGGCAGAGCGCGACTCTGTCTCAAAAAAAAAAAAAAAAGGCTCATGTTACACTACATTGAATGATCCTGTATGGTTTATTTACATAATGTAATATCTATATACACAGGTAGATCCTGAATAAATAATATTGGTATATGAGGACATTATGGAAACAGTATGCTATGTCATTCAAGTTGTAAAGTGGCGATATTTGGTAGGACCTTTTTAAACATGATACTTAAAAAGTACATATATATACACATCTGCAAAAAATAAACATCACCTTATTCATAACTAGTTATCAATACTCTAAATAGAGGCTTCCAATTTTGGATGACTATTTAGAAAAAAAGTGGAATTTATCATTTCAATGTGGTAATGTTGGTTTTATGCTGGTTGGAATTCTAGTTAAAAGTTATGTCTTTGATTAATAAAAGGAGAAAATTGTTAATGGTGTGTGTTCGTGGGCAAGAGCTTGGGCGTTGCCATCACATAGCACCTCATTGGTAAATCATTAATAATTACAGGCCGTATTGTAAGGTTATGAAAATTAAGTGAGTTAAAACTTATAAAATGCTTAGTGTGGTATCTGGCACATGGTAAACACTCGATAACTGCCAGTTATCTTTTAGAGTGGGAGAGGATAAAAACAGTCTACTAGCCTGGCAACATAGGGAAACCCTGTCTCTGCAGAAAATATAAAAGTTAGCCAGGTCTGGGGGTGTACACTTGTATGTAGTCCCAGCTACTTGGGAGGGAGGCTGAGGCAGGAGGACTGCTTGAGCCCAGGAGGTGCTCAGTCAGCAGAAGGATCGCTTGAGCTAAGGTCACGCCACTGCACTCTAGCCTGGGCGACAGAGCCTATCTTTAAAAAAACAAAACAGCCGGGAGCGTGGCTCACGCTTGTAATCCCAGCACTTTGGGAGGCCAAGGTGGGTGGATCACCTGAGGTCAGGAGTTCGAGACCAGTCTGGCCAACATGGTAAAACCCCGTCTCTACTAAAAAAATACTAAAATTAGCTGGGCATGGTGGCGTACACCTGTAGTCCCAGCTACGTGGGAGGCTGAGGCAGGAGGATTGCTTGAACCGGGGAGGCAGAGGTTGCAGTGAGCCAAGATTGTTCCGCTGTACTCCAGCCTGGGCGACAGAGTGAGACTCTCTCAAACAAACAAAACAAACAGTCCTAGCTAACGTGGATCAAGAACCACTGCCGTGTTACTGTTCACGAATCTGTGCATTAGGAAGACAAGACATTTTAATGCACTTTTTGTACAGGTACTAATTTCTGTGCTGCACAAAAGAGAATATGGTTGATAAGCTGATTCCTACCTAGATGAAATTGGTAAACATATTTTATATAGGAATTCTTTAAAAATTTTTTTATCCACTTTTGTGTATTAGCGTATGTATGGCTGCTGAATAGGTTTTAGGAATAGCCCCAGTAGGTGCAAATAATTTAAATTAGATGCAACGTATAGTATTTATACTCCAACTGAATACATTGACTATAACTCTTATGGACTCTGTGCCGCAACTTGTCAAAAGTCTAAATGAAGTAAAAAGAAACACGTCTTCAAACTTACTGTTTAAAGTTCTTTGTTCAGAGCCATTAGCATATTTAATAGGATTTGCGAGTCCTCTTTCCCATAT